TGCGCCAAATAGAGATCCAAGTTTTTGAATCTCAACAAAAACTCGTTTATGAATACAAAATAAAGTATGAGTTCCAACTCGCGCTCTAAACCAGTTTTTAAGAGTTCCAACTCAAACTCAAACTCAAATTTGTCTTTGAATACGAGTATTAATAAAGTCTCTAATAAAAAAACGTTTTATTTTATTTATTTGTAAATATTCACACATTTTCTATTGCATTTTGCTTATTTGCTAACCATATCATATATCCGTAATGCAACTAATATAGTAGAATTAATCTTTGTATTATTAATCCTTAAATTGCTATAGTACTGTATATACAGTATATTTATTCTACGATAAATTAATAAAACCTAGATTTATTTTCACCACCAGAAAATATTATGAACATTAAATAAAAGTAAAACTAAAAGTAAAAATTAAATTTGAAAGTAAAAGTAAATTAATAATAAAAAGATATTTTATAAAAATAAGTTGTTTGTCATCCCATAAAACATAAATCAAAAAACTTAAATTAAAATGTTACATAATATCATACAAACAAAATAGTAAATGTAAAATAAATAAATTATAAACCACTAGATGGTGAAATAGTTGTGGCAAACTTTTATAAATGTTATATAATTATGCGTTTTATTTATGTAAACAAAGTTACTTGATTGAACTTCAATACATTATGGTAAAATGAGATAATTTTAATATTTATCAACAAAATTATTTGCTAAATTATTACGTATTATTAATTAAAATATTTATAATTAATTAACAAGAATATACTGTGTAATTATAGTAATTTATAAAATCTAAATATTAATTACAATAAATTAATTTGTGTAAAAATAAAAAAATGTTACTTTTGTTTTAAAAATAATAATTACTTTTAATATAATGTCTGAGTTTTTAAATAAGTTTAGAGTTTGTGCCAAAATTCCTCACAATTTTAAACAAGAAATTAAATTATTTCATGTTTTCAATTATGGAAATGACATATTGTTTGTGACAACCGGTGATCGGGTCTATGGGTTGGGCAGTAATAGTGAGGGAGTGTTGGGTTTGGGACACAACCGACCCATCGATATACCAAAAGAAGTGCCGCAATTATGTCATCAAAATATACAACACTTTTTTAACGGATTAAATTTTGCGTTGGCTTTAAATAATGATCACCAGTTGTACGGTTGGGGTTGCAATAGGCCTCCATATAATAAACCCCACAACATATTACTATGCATTGAGAAAGTATCATGTTCACCAATCGGTGCGATGGCCCTTACAACTGATGGACGGGTATATCAATGGATATATAATTCAATGGTTACACAAAAGCCATTTGAAATACAATTTCCCGTTGAATATAAAATTGTGGACATTATGTGCTGTAATGAAGAGAAACGTTGTCTCATTTGGATGTCATTTGCCATTACATCCAATGGAGAGGTGTTTATGTGGGAAGTGATCAAAAACAATGTAAACCCCAACAAAACATATGCACCAAAATTATTGCTAAATGTAAATAATATAAAAAGTTTATATAGAGAGACATTTATGCCCGATATTACTATGTTATCAAATGATAAACGTGTTTATAAATATAATATCAAACATGAAAAAATTATTTTAGACAACAATTTACTTCTGAATGATCTAGTTCAGATAAGTTGCAATTCAATAATTGTGGGAATTAGTGATGAAAAAGTGTACGAATATAAGTCTGGAGTATTTTTTGAAACAGAGTACAAAACATTTAATGATTATGTGACTAATAAATATCAAATTACTTATAAAAGTATTCATATCACTAATTATGATAATAATGTTGTCTCCAGAACACAACAACTATCAATACATGGTAAGCATTTCTGATAAATCACTATGATTAAACTAATCAAATTAATATATTTTAATTAATAATGTTATAATAAAATTATTAAAATAACAAAAATATAAATTATTAAGATTTAATAATTTTTTAGAAAACAGCCATAAAATACATGGTATAGAACTCTATGAACTACTGAAAACGTTAAAACCTAGTAGTTTTGGACAAGTGTTTGAAGTGAGGGATAAACAAACGGAAATTAAATATGCGATTAAAAAATTACATTGTTCATTCAATGGTAGTATTTTGATAAATTATTAATAATTAAAATTATCAATAGTTAATAAAAAGTTAATTTCAAGGTTTGACAGAAAAGCAAAGACAGGATTTATTAAGAGAAACGGAAAACTTGATAAAATTGCGCTCAGAATATGTCATTAAATACTATTATTCGTGGATTCAAAACAACTGTTTATACATTCAAATGGATTGTTTGGCCGGAAATTTGAAACAACTTTTGGATAATAAGAAACAATTATTTGGAGAAATAATGACTGAATTTGAATATTATATATCATATAAATTATTCAAACAATTGGTGGAAAGTGTGGAGTATTTGCATAAAAATCATATCATTCACAGAGACCTCAAACCCGATAATGTGTTGATTGACAACAATGAGGGATGGAATGTAAATCATAGATATATAAAGTTATGTGACTTCGGTTTGTCTAAAGAAGTGGANCTCAAACCCGATAATGTGTTGATTGACAACAATGAGGGATGGAATGTAAATCATAGATATATAAAGTTATGTGACTTCGGTTTGTCTAAAGAAGTGCATGTATTGAGTGATGGATACAAACAAAGTAGTGTTAAACACACCAAAGATGTCGGAAATGTTGACTATCAGGCACCGGAAGCGCAGACCACTGAATACAACCATTTAATAGATGTCTATAGTCTGGCACTCATTGGGGCACAACTTTTTGGGTTTAATATAAGAGATATTGAAAACGGAAAGTATGTTATAATATGATTGAATATTAACATAATTTATATAATTTTAATTGTATTTTTATTTTTAGATTGGATTCTAATTTAGAAATTAATACTGATTTGAATCTAAGGAATAAATTATCAAAAATAAATCAAATATTGGTTGAAATGAGTGCTAATAAGTGGTCAACGAATGGATCCACGGATTGGAGACAACGACTCGAATGTGGAGACATTTTAAATAAATTAATGCATTTATCGATTGAACCGATTGTCGAGAAAAACGATTTATTATTCAATAAAATAATGGAAACTAAATTCACACTATTTTTTAAATATTTCCTGCAGTGCCATAAGATGTGTGTTATTTGCCAAACAAATGATGTAAACAATGGTAAACAGAATTGATTTTACATTTTATTGTTTTATACAGCAATTGTTAAATGCTATATATTTATAGATATGATGCAAATTATCAAATCATATGGTCGAATTGAGTATAATCACAAGATTATCAAAGTAAAAAATGTTACAAACAATAACTTGTATTATTTACACAAACCTTATGATTATAGTAAGTGTTATAATATTTTATTAAATAATACTAAAGTTTGAATTAAGTCATAACTTTTAAGATTGGCCGTAGTTTAAAAATAAATTTGATTTTTAATTAGATTTTTAATGTATTACACTTGTGATTTAAGTATTTTTATTTTAAAATTATAAACATTTAACATTAATTTGAATTTATATATTATTTAAATAATAATTTATGTTTATTTGTAACCAAAGATCTTAAAGAAGTTATCGTCAATATTAAGAAAATATTTCAATTAAAACCTCAATATTTGCTTCAAATCCATAACTCGTGGATTGAAAACAAAGAGATTTACATTGAAATGGAGTTTTGTTCGCAAACTCTATGGGATGTCATAAATGCAAAACACGTGATATTCGGGACACAAACCCATCACTCGTTGGCAATGATTTCAATTGATTTCCTTATT